CAACTATTCAATAAGTTTTATTTACCAAATATATTCTGGAAGCAAATAAATTTTACTTCTGTCAAATAAATAATTTATTTTACAGAACTAAATTAATTAATAAGTATTGCCATAGCTTTGGCCCGCTATATTTACGTTTATCATTTAGTAATAGTAACCAAATTTTAATAATATTTACTAAATTTTTCTCTCAGTGCACGATTTTAGACACTTCCGACGGTTTAAGGAAAAAGTTGCAAGGTGAATCTTCAATTACTTCATGCAGACTACAACTTGCAATAATAAAAAGTAAAGAATATATATTTTTTTTAAGAAATCAAGAGTACCTTGAATTTTTTAAATAACCCATGCACATTTTCTTATATAATATTGTAGAAAACTTTAAGAACGACATTACGCCAAATATATTTCGAATACGTCCTTTATATAACGGCAGATTTTATTATTTTCTAATAAATAAAAGATATTATTTAGATGTTATTTTTATTAAATAAAAGATATTATCAAAAGATATTTTCTAATAAATAAAATAAAAGGTTAAATAAAGATTAAATAAAGATTAATTAAAGAATAAATATAGATTAAATAAGTAAAATAAAAGATTAAACTTACGATAAAATTATGGGGCTCTAATCGTTAAATTTAACGCATTATCACAAATGTCACACTTTTATTAAGAACAGCAAAACAATAGAAAATAACTCCAACTTAGGGAAACAAATATTCTAATTGCTTGTCTCCTTCTGCAACATAAAATTCCGCTTTTTTTAACAAATTACTATGCGTAGCAGCTATTATGTTATTTAGATCTAAATTTACACAAGCTGTAATTATCTTTTCTCAAAGATCTTGGGCATTATTAATTAGTGTTTGATACACACAAGAGCTTTCAGATACCCCCATAAGAAAAAAACCATCGCAGGTAAATCTGAAGAATAAAGCGACTATTGGATTGGTCTATGTGTACTTATAACATGATTTTCAAAAGAATCCTGAAGATAGCAGTGAGATATATTGCTTACCATATTTTGCTTACTGCTATTTAAAATAATGCTGCATATTTGATATTAAATATTGACAAAAGTAACATTTGTGATAGTGCGTTGAATTCATTTTGAAGTCTTCCATAATATCATGTAAAAAAAATGCATGCTGTTATTTAAAAAATTCAAGATAAATTTGATTTCTCTTTATGAAAAAAATATTTTTTTACCTTTGTTATTGCAAGTTGTAGCTTGCACAAAACAGTTGAAAATTCATCTTGCAACTTTTTCCTTAAACTGTTGGAACCGTGTCTGAAAAAGCATGCATACTGTTAGACTGAACACTGTATAATATGTAATAATTTTTATATGAAAAAATATATAATTTGAAGCCACAGTAGTTAACATTACAACAAATTTGTAATTTGTATAATTTTGAACCATATAATATTATAGTCGAAATTATTAAATTAAAAATGTTAATTTTGACTTTGACATTTGACTTTTTACTATAAAATTCCTTTAATATCGAAAATTAATTTAATATCAAATATTTTTTTATATCGTATAACAGATAAATATTGTCAAATGTTGTATTCCTATAGTGACTTATACTGCAATTTCAGTATTTTCACACGGAAAAAAGACTTGGTTGAATTCATCAAATATCTAGATGGCACTCATGCAACTTTTTCATAAAAACCGAAATGTGAAAAATGAAAAGTGTCACGTGAACTCGACGACTATAGCGATTATATAACTTCTCAAACAATGGAAATATAAAATTTTCCACTCTTCATGAGTTCACTAGGGAAAAAGATACATAATCGATACTCTGGTGAAATATAAACGAACCAGAATTTCGATTGAAGTTACTTTTACTCTGGTTGAAAAATTCTGTACAAATTAACAAGATTCTAATTAATCAGAAATATTGTTTGATTAACCAGAGTTTAGTTAACTTAAACAGAATTCTGATAACTTCAATTAGAATTCTAATTCACTTATATTTCATCAGACATTTGGTTAATCCAATAAAATTATTTTTCGATGCAGCTTTACGAAAAACATTGTAAAAAGAAATATCTTTACATATATATTTTTGTACGTAACTTTTACTACAATATTTTCTTCGTGTGTTGACATTACATCAAAGATAATTTTAATTCTTTTACTTTTTATATGCATAAAATATTTCTTGTTTTAACTTTTTCGGTCATAAGGCAAAGTTAATACTTACAAAATTTTGAAAATATTAGGTTTTCTTAATTTCAAGAATCACTAGAAAAAGTATTTTATTTAATAGAATTCTGTATTTTTTGTATTGTGCTATAATGCAGCCAACATGCACACACATACACACACACTCTCTCTCTCTCCTTTCTTCTGTCAGACTTAAAAGATACTAAAACAAAATTTCCCACGTATTAATCAATAATTCAGTATACCTGTAGTTAATTTTGAAGTTTTCAGTATACTTGTAGTTAGGTATAACCTGTAGTTAGGTATAACCTATAGTTTTACATACTTCAAGTATAAAGAAAATCAAGTTATAGACTTAGAAGAAATGTCCAGCCGACTAGACACCTGAGTAACGATCATGTAATTTTTTCCTAAGAGCGGAAACGCAAAAAGTTACGTGAAAACTCGACTTTAGCAATTATATAATTTCTCGAACAATAGAAATGTGAAAATTTTCACGTTAAACTTTTCACTTTTCACGCGAGTCTATGCTATAGGAAAAGATACATGATCGACATCCAGAACTGAAGAAGATAATAAAAAATTGTACAATATAGCTTACAATTATACGAATTGATATAAAGATAATTCGCCTCTATTTATTTTCTAAATTTCTTGGAATAAAATTTCACTCGAAAAGTAGAATAACAGCCGAATCACTCGAACTCCAGTTAAATTTTCACTCTTATAGCATGTGAATTCTGCACTCCGAATCATACAGTGAATATTTTCACTGAAATTAAAGAGTAAATCTGATGCATGCCTCTGTCAGAGAAATATATTCGCTCCAATCGATTGAAACATTCGCTTATATAGTCAGAATGCACTCTAATTTTGAGTGAAATATTCACTCTTGTGGTTTCGAGCGGCAGTATTTTCATTATCGCGTAAAAACACTGTCATTTTCAACTCCAAAAAATGTAGAAAATACAGTATAAGAATTTTAAACAGGTATGAAAGACGACAATTTCATCGTACACCATTGCGCGCGTGAGTAAACTCCGACTTTACGCCGCCCGTATGAGGCTTGAATCCGTCGCGTTTTATCGATCTCGATCTTCGCTAATTAAGGCGCGGAATTTGATCGTGGAACTTTAGTCACCGTAGTGGCCTACGGTAATTATCGTCGAGCAACTTTCGAGAAATCGACAGCGCGGTCGTCACGGTTCGTTAGGGGCGCGGAGGAAGTTCTTCTCGTCAAGGGAGAAACAGAAAGGATGGAGAATCCTGACCAGAGTGGCGTGGGTTGCATCGCCAGTGGCGGCGGCGGCGGCGGCGGCGGCGGCAATAGCGGCGGTGGTGGTGGCAGCGGCGGCAGCAACGGCGACGCCTATATTGATTTTGGGGCCGAGGAAAGCGCGGCGGAAACTCCAAGCGACGGAGAGGAACGAGCGATCCACCAGAATGCGGCATGGGATAACCGAATGGTGGAAAGCGTGCGGTATCGGGAGCGATGCATTTCGCAAACGAGAACGGCCGGCGAGACGGACCGTTTGAGTGCACCGTAATAACTTGCGGCATATGTCGCAACCGCTGATGGGCGTTAACTGTGTGATTAAGGGCTTAAATGCCGCGGCAATGGCACCACCACACACACGCAAGCCGCATCAATCGCGAAAAAATCTGCGTCGCCGAATTTTTACTTGCATATTCATGAAAGTGTCGCGCGAGCGCGAAAATTATGGAAAGATTACGCCTTTACCCCTGAAAAAAATTGCGACTCTTTATACGAGCTATATAATGAGTGAGAAAATGCCTCTGTGAGCCTCCACGTTTTCCTAATGGATTTATGCGAAAGAGAAAAATATTTTGCCAAGTGCTTCTTGCCCCGAGCATACCGCTTTCATTTGTATCAACATATCGAAGTGCACGTTGTAGCAAACAGAGACTGTATTGCCCAATTCGTATGCTAAGCGACCGACATGCTTGCGAAGCCCGGAGAGAGAAGGTAGAGATTTCCTAACTTATTAAGAGATCCGGTGACGCAATCAAAGGACTCCATGCGCGAAAGGATCGAGGGACAGAGAGAAAAAAAAGAGAGAATTAAGGTAAAAAAGAACAGGACTCTATTAACTCGGAGCGCGCGACTCGCAGAGGAAGTCGCACGTAACGTTTGCACGAGCACAACGCCAAAGCGTATAATTATTGAAGGGGAAAAAAGAGTTTCAATGAGATTCCGAAAGAGAGGAGAGAAAAAAAAGTTAATGAAGAACTCGTTGCGCAATCGATGACCGCACAACGCGAAGAAACCTCGTTTTCATTGAACGTCCGCGGGGTCTATACCGTTAAAACGTTCGACGAGAGGCTTCGCGATACACACAGGTAAAAAAGCTCGCCGGGGCTCCGCGCCCTCAATAATTCAAGTGACGAGACGATACGTGCGTTTGTTTTTACTTATCTACGACGATAAATCACGCTTGAGCGCACGCTCGTCCGGCAACGCACCGCGTTATTAATATCGCGATTTCGTGAATGGGCCGCGCCTTCGGATACGCCTCGCGTGTGTATTTTGGAAGTCCGCGTCTGCATTCCGTCGCGATGAACGTCAATCACGGATTAAGTGCTATCACGAACGCTAACTTCTAACTCGGCCGCGAGTAACGAGCTCTCCTTCTCTTTACGACGCGGACACTTGTGCACAGCCGCGTTATTCGCGCCCGGAATCAGTTTTATTCATCGAGGATACCGTTCCGCGGAGGAAACGCACGATCTAGCAGCGCGGCATTGGCGGCAAAAAGTCGAACTATCCGCAATAACAG